ATTAGCACAAAAGGTCAACTTTCTCTCATAGATAAAGGAAAACTCACAAGTCATATCCCTGACAGGACAAAAACAAAGCCTAGACACTTCAGCAAAAACATAGCATGCCAAGAATATGACTTTTCTAGGAAAACCTTTGAGTAAGACTTACATATGGAAAAAATGTTTTAAAAACTGGTTACATATTGGGATAGAAAGAATTTCCAGGTAGGCATTAAGAATATTTCTAGATCTCTTGTCTCCTCTGGGTACAATTAGGTGTACAGAGAAAAATATTTTAGGCGTTTTCATTTCAAAATGAACAGAGCAAAGAAAAAAAGATTTCATTAAAAGAATATAAAATTAATTTTAGTAGCAAAATAGCATCACTATCATAAGAAACAGCTCTTCTAGCACTGCTAATAAGGGTTCAATTCATTACAACTGATAAGATGCATCTGACATGAAAGGCCGGCTAGGAAAACCTTCAGGAAGATGGGGGAAAACCACTAAAATTCATTGGTTCTAGCAGTCCATTAAAACATTTTCCAGCCTGCTTACTGAAGCTGTGGAAAAACTGGGAACTCAGATTTCTCACTCTAGGATGTGGAAAGTTTAAATTACAAGAAGATGGAAAGGAAGGAAATGGCAAAAGGAAGGAACACCGTGAGTTAGTTACAGCTAATCTGAATTTATGGATATTTCTTAAGAAATGCAGGGAAAATCAAACAAAAGGATGGGGATTATAACAAAACTTCCATGAATGTATGTACCAAAAAAGCTGAAAACACAGGGCTTTCTTAAAACTTATACAAATGAAGAGAAATATTAGACTGCCTACTTCATTATTATAGTAAATACCTATTAAGTAGGCTCCCCACAAAATGCATGTACATATAAGAGGGCAATAAAAAGTGAACTGGGCAACTTTTTATTGCCCTCATATATACATAAGGGGGCAAGTATAAGTCAATGGACCATTCTGAACATGCCCATATCTAATGAATTGGCAGCTATCACTTAGATATTAGAATTGCTACTATTTATTAAATGCTTCCCATGCTGTGGGCATATTTTAAGGAAATTTACATGTTATTTCATAGATAGTAGATGAGAAAACTGAGACTGAGAGAGGGTAAGTAACTCATCCAAGGACACATGGGTAGGAAATAGAGAAGCCAAGACTTAAGCCTAAGGATAATTCTCTCAGAGTTCATGCTCTTTCTACTATGCCACACTTTCACCTCCATCTTACTCTAGGGTATCTACAGCTTAATGAGGTAGGGAAAGGCTTCTGATGACATGGAAACCAAAGGCAGTACTCCTCAGGAGAAAGGGCTAAATAAGACTATTTAAGAGTGCATGTTGTAAACACCTAGCACAATACTTGGCATATCGTAGGTGTTCAATCTATGGTCATGTTGATGGAAAACAAAGAGGAGAAAGAAGGCAGGCATAGGACAGACAGATGGACAAATAGTTGGTTAAGTAGGAAGATTCTTCTTTTCCTTTGAAGTTTACAGGGATCTGTGTGAAATCCAAAATTTCAAAGAAATGGAGGGAAGCATACACAGCTGAAGTTGTGCCAGAGTCAAGAACATCATCCCATCAGGACCTGAAAGTTGGAGACACGGTCTCTAGGACTCCATAGAGAAGGCATTTTTATCCCTTTGCTCATGCAAGATGGGCAAAACATTTAAATATTTGGGATTAGAATATATATTCTCTCTCAATATAGATTTCTATATTTTCTATGTGTGTGTATATATATAAAATACATATTCTCCCAAACTTTTGAAATTCCAAATATGTTAAAAAATATGTATTTTTTATATATATATATATGGCTATATATTTAGGGGAATAGGTATATATAGATATGTACAGACACAGGCAATTGCAAGATGTATATACCTATATATACACACATCTTACAATTGCCTGTTTTGTCATTTACTTTTGCTAAACTTTAAAGCTGTTTCTGTGTTAATTTGTTTGCAAGGATTAGCGTAGGAGGAGAAAGTGATTTTTTGGTTCCTTGTCTTTTCTCATGCCTACCGTAGGTCATAGTTGGCTTTTATTTGTCAACATTACAATCTGAATTTTTAGCATCATATTGTAATAAGCTTTCCCTTGTTTTCCTCATACACTGAAAAGATTTAAGAGCATTCATAATGCCCTTGAATGTTTCTTTCAAGAAACATAACATTTGAAATTAGAGAAAACCTGAAGCGTTTGGAGGTTTTGATCAGATGTATTCTCAAGTGTAGGACATCTACGAAATAGCATAGCTGTAGAAAGAGGCAGTCAAGCATGAAACCCTAGGTAGCATTAAATAGAAGGCAAAATAAAAGTTGCATGTGTTTAAAGCACATTTCTTAAAATATCTTAACATGTCTGAACCATGCCTAAGCCTATTTTATCAAAGTTACCACTAAAAAATTAGCTAGGTGTCTTCAATTTACATTTCAAACATTTCTAGAGTAAAACTCCTTTTGGTCACTTTCCTTGATGTATTGGTAGTAAATTACATTTTTTACAATATACATGTAAGCATTTCGTGAATTCTTGTTAATATAAAAAGTAAGGCATCATTTTCACCCTTTCAGAAAAAAAAAAAAAAAAAAAAACCCACAAAACCAAAGAGGAAATGTCACCATCCAAAGACAACAATGTTGATATTTCCTATAGAGCTTTGTGTGTCTCTTGGAATGGAGAAGGGTGATAAGCTTCTTATGGGACTCTCAGGCAGCCAAGATCAAGACGTGTGCTCTTCTTCTTGCTCTCTGGGACTCACTGCCTCTAAGAGAAGTGTGGTCTAGGAAATCCACTGTGATGGCTGTATTATCTTAAGTCTGTAGTTCAAAAAAAAAATAGAAATTCTACCCACCCTACAAAGTAATAATCCCACCTCTAGAAAATCAGGCACAATGAAGTAATTCTTCAAATTATACATTGTATATAAAATGACCAATTTTTCAAACAGTCTGCATGATTTTGCATATTCATAGCTCATGGATGACTCCGTAATGACCTGGCAGCAACCTCTCTCTTAATGGGCCCTGATTCCCAGGTTTCAGGTCTAATTTTCATTCTAGAGAAGATTCCCCAACAAGATTGTTCTATACTCAAATCTAAGGAGACTCACAGGTTTTTGTTTTGCATTTCCTTTTCTAGACAGAGGCTACTGATTACATCCTGTACTAGAATGAGTTCCTGTATACCCTTTGGTATGGTTTGTCTCTGTGTCCACACCCAAATCTTACCTTGAATTGTAATAATCCCCATGTGTCATGGAAGGGACGTGGTGGGAGGTAATTGAATCATGGGGGTGGGTATTTCCTGTGCTGTTCTCATAATGGTGAATCAATCTCACGAGATCTGATGGTTTTATAAAAGGGAGTTCCCTCTCCATGCTCTTTTGCCTGCTGCCATGTAAGACGTGACTTTGCTCCTCCTTTGCTTTCTGCCATGATTGTGAGGCCTCCCCAGCAGAACTGTGAGTCAGTTAAACTTCTTTCCTTTAAAAATTACCCAGTCTCAAGTATGTCTTTATTAGCAGTGTGAGCATGGACTAATACAGTAAATTGGTACTGGTAGAGTGGGGTGCTGCTATAAAATTACCTGAAAATGTGGATGTAACTTTGGAACTGGGTAACAGGCAGAGGTTGGAACAGTTTGGAGGGCTCAGGGGAAGAAAGGAAAATGTGGGGAAGTTTGGAATTTTCTAGAGACTGTAAGGCTCAGAAGACAGGAAGATTTTGGAACGTTTCGAACTTCCTAGAGATTTGTTGAATGGCTTTGAACAAAATGCTGGTAGTGATATGGACAATAAAGTCCAGGCTGAAGTGGTCTCAGATGGAGATGAGGAGCTTGTTGGGAACTAGAGCAAAGGTCATTCTTCCTATCTAAAGAGACTGGAGGCATTTTGGCCCTGCCCTAGAGATCTGTGGAACTTTGAACTTGAGAGAGATGATTTAGGCTATCTGGCAGAAGAAATTTCTAAGTGGCAAAGTGTTCAAGCAAAAACACAGCATAAAAGCTTGGAAAATTTGCAGCCTGATAATAGAAAAGAAAAACCCATTTTCTGGGGAGAAAGTCAAGCCTGCTGCAGAACTTTGCATAAGTAACAAGGAGCTGAATGTTAACCATCAAGACAATGGGGAAAATGTTTCCAGGGTATGTCAGAGACCTTTGTGGCAGCCCCTCCCATCATAGGCCCATGGGAGTGGGGTGGGGGAGGGGCAGGCAGGAAATGGTTTCCTGGGCCAGGCCCAGGGCCCCCCTGCTGTGTGAGCCTAGGGATTCAATGCCCTGCATCACGGCTGCTCCTGCTGTGGCTAAAAGGGGCCAAGGTACAGTTCAGGCCATGGCTTTGGAGGGTGCAAGCCCCAGAGTCTTGGCAACTTCCATGTGGTGTTGAGCCTATGAGTACACAGAAGTCAAGAATTGAGGTTTGGGAACCTCTGCCTAGATTTCAGAAGATATGTGAAAATACCTGGATATCCAGGAAAAAGTTTGCTGCAGGCACAGAGCCCTCATGGAGAACCTCTGCTAGGGCAGTACAAAAGGGAAATGTGGGGTTGGAGCCCCCACACAGAATCCCCACTGGGGTACTGCCCAGTGGAGCTGTGAGAAGAAGGGCCACCATCCTCCAGACACCAAAATGGTAGATCAACTGACCGCTTACACTGTGTGCCTGGAAAAGCCACAGACAACACTAGCCTGTGAAAGCACCTGGGAGGGGAACTGTACCTTGCAAATCCATAGGGGCAGACCTGCCCAAGGCCATGGGAACCCACCTCTTGCATCATTGTGACCTGGATGTGAGACATGGAGTCAAAGGAGATAATTTTGGAGCTTTAAGATTTGACTGCCCTGCAGGAATTTCAGACCTGCATGGGGCCTGTAACCCCTTTGTTTGGCCAATTTCTCCTATTTGAAACAGCTGTATTTACCCAATGCCTGTACCCCCATTGTATTTAGCAAATAACTAACTTGCTTTTGATTTTATAGGCTCATAGGCGGAAAGAACTTGCCTTGTCTTAGATAACATTTTGGACTATGGACCTTTGAATTAATGCTGAAATGAGTTAAGACTTGACAGGATTGTTGGTAAGGCATTATTGTTTTTGAAATGTGAGGACATGAGATTTGGAAGGGGCCAGGGGTGGAATGATATGATTTGGCTCTGTGTCCCCACCAAAATCTCATCTTGAATTGTAATAATCCCCATATGTTGTGGGAGAGACACAGCAGGAGGTAATTGAATCACAGGGACAGGGTTTTCCTGTGCTGTTCTCGTGATAGTGAATAAGTCTTGCTAGACCTGATGGTTTTATAAAAGGGGAGTTCCCCTGCACCTGCTCTCTTGCCTGCTGCCATGTAAGATGTGACTTTGCTCCTCATTCGCCTTCTGCCATGATTGTGAGGCCTCCCCAGCCATGTGGAATTGTGAGTCAACTAAACCTCTTTCCTTTATAAGTTACCTAGTCTTGGGTATGTCTTTATTAGCAACATGATTACAGACTAATACACCCTCCTTTCTAAAGGATCCTTTCTTAAACTCAGGCATTAAGCCGCATGGCCTCATTTTTAACAATTAAGATGGTTATTAGTTTTACTGGTTTCTCACTCAACATTTTTTCTTGTTTTTATCTTCCTTACCTGGATTCATATTTTACTTACTGGAGTATGTTCACAAGTAATTTTTGGACGTCTGAAAAAATGAGACTAGCTAGTTTTTGTGTGGTACCTATTAATAATGCCTCTGAACTAGTGTTTTATGAAATACACTTTGGAAAACAATGACATAAATTTACTTACATTGACCAAAAACATTGAGATTTCTTAGATTTGATCTCATTAATATCAAACTTTCTTGTGACCAATGAACCCCCATAAATATGGATTCAAATGGACCTCACAGAAAGAATTACCAGGAATACATGTTTATCTTCCCTTACTATATTTTTGAGTTATGAACAAGTAAGCAGAAATAGGAAATCAAACACTTTTCACCTAAAGTCTTAAAGAACAACTTCTCAAACAAGGTAGAATAAATAAAGTTGTAGACTTATTAGAATCCCTCTGCCCCATTCTTTCCACACCCCGCCCCCAACATAGGTAAATGAAACCATATATAGGACAAGAAGATACACATTTTTCCACTTGTGAGCCAATATTACTACTGAGCTTTGCATGGCCGAATTTGTTTTTGCTACCAACTTAGGAAAAATAGAAAATGAGATTTAGATAAGAACAAATGCTATGGTAAAGAGGCCAGAACCCCAGCCTAGAATAGCAACACTATTTGAAGTGAGACTCCATAAATAAATGTTTTTCATTTATATCTGGTAATTTCCATCCTCCTCTTCCACCCTCAAGTTCCTGTAGTGTGAAGGCATTTGAAGAAACACAATGATAATGAACTCTCTTTGGGAAATATAGAGTTAACTTTAAAAGACATATCTCTTATTGGAGATAGGCTACATGAGATTTTGCTGGATATGGAAAATAAATGTGATAACCTTCACCTTCATTTCCTGGAGTAGCCCTGACACGCCCCCCATAATTCCCACTTGGGAACTTGAAATAAGATTTGATTTCAGTCTCTACAATGAACATATGGTGTATGTACAAATAGCTTCTAAGCCTTTTGATGTCCATTAAGAGGAAGGAGTGGGGAGCTGTTTCCTGTAGGAATATGGGGCACTAGGGAGCATTAAGGAAAGAAACAATGGCAAAGGAAATGTCAGTCTTTTGCACTCATTATGTTTCTATGAACAATGAATTTCATGAGTTTTGAGGCCTTTAATGGATGCGTTACAGGTTCCAATTTTGTTCCTACAACTATCTTGGGGAGCCATACATAATAGTTTTACATTTGAAAAAACACCCAGCATCATCCTGTCCCTCCTTTCCTTGGTCACCTAATGGGGATATTGGATTGTTGTGATTACAGACAATATGAAAAGCCTTTTGGAACATTTGTAGTTAGAAGAGCTATTAAAATTCATGATTATATCAAGTCTTGTTCCTTTTGCCCTCCAATTCCCCACATTAATTTTCTCTTTCTTGGGGACAGAGAATATTAGAAAAACAAATAAGAAAATAATAACCCTTCATAAATACATCAACCAGAAATAATCTCAATATATATCCTTCAAGTCATATAAGTATGTACATATTTTGTCAAAGAATTAAGAGTTTTGTCCTATAACAAAGGGGATTAGTTTATTAAGCACAGTTATTAAAATAGAAGTCTATTACATATTTTACTTTCCACAAAACTTTGTTTTTGCCAAACACCCTAATTTTTATTTCTTCTGACCTTAAAGCATAGTAATACTTTAAAAGTTTTAAATGGACTTTGTATGACTTAGACATTTCACATATATTATTGAGCTTGTATCATCCAAATCCTTGGGTTGTTCCTAAGTTACAGAAAAAGAAATCAGAGTACTTGGGATAGTGCCTTACTCAGAAATTCACACATGAATTTTTCAATGGACAAGGCTCCAGCCAGAGTCTAATCCATACTTAAGCTTATTATCCTAGGACTTTCAATGTTGAATATGACTGAACAATAAATACTGAGCTAGCAATTATCTAACACCTGTAATTTCCAAAGAACTATGTTGGAAAGTTTAGTTATAAGACAATTCACGGTTTTCTAACTAAAAATGGATGACTCCTGTTATGTTTTTAGAGAGGCTCTTTAGGAGAATTGTTTTGTACCCAGCCTCCACGGTGTAACCAGTTAATTAAATCATTCAGGAATAAAAGTTATTTAAATTTCAAGTGATGCTAGACCCAGCTCAGTTCTTCCCATTCCTCTCCTGTCTGTATTTAGAGCTGTGCATCATGTTTCTAATGGCCCCTCTTCTTCTAATAATTATCAATCTCTTAAGAAGAACATAAATGAGGGCAGGAAAAAGTTTTTATTGAATATTATGTCCTCAATAATACTCTACATCAGCAGGTGCTTAGTACTTATTATCTTATTTGACTTTTACAACTATTGATATTGATATTTCTGGTTAATAGCTATTTGTCCTCAAAATTCCATTCTCCCTTTTTTCCTGGGCATGTCTTCCCTATTCAAGATTATGTTTCTCAGCTTCCCATGTGGCGATAGTCGTGTGACTAAGTTCTCACTAATGGGATCTGAGGGAATGAACAAAAGCTCCTGTGTGTGAGACTTCTTGAAAAACGACTGCTCATCCTGAACTTCTTTTCATCCTTCTTGCAGGCTGGCTGAATTTGCGGAGACCCGACTTTGCCCTTGCATGTGTGAAAAATGGCCTCAAGTATGACACCATGGCAAGATGGAAAGAAACTGTGCTCTTGAATAGCTTAGAGATTCAGAGCCCCTCATCAGCTTGAAATGCCCACCTCAAAACAATGACATGAGAAGAAACAAACCTCTAATTTAAGCCACTGTCTTTTTAAGAGCATTGTAGTTTGAGATATCTTTCTTTCAGCTGTTTAGGCCCCAGCTAACCACTTATTGATCTTATCTTACAGGTCAAGAAAAATGCAGTTCTGGGGGACAAGTCACTAATATAAATGTATTAGAAATTTTCCAGCTCTCCCTCCTTGCCCAGCAGAGTATATTTCCACTCAAACACAGTGAACCCGTCTGGAATGGGACAAAACAAAATGGGGTGGGCCTGGGACAAGAGAATGTTCAGCTACACAGGATCCAGGTCAAAACTCTTTAATCCTCCCATTTCTGGATCTCAAATGAGCACCTTTCATCTAAGAGTTCTCCTCAAGAGGTTTGCTTTCCCACAGCAGCTTGTCAACAGTGTAAGAAGTTCCAAAAGAGCTTTTGGGGTTGTAGGTTATGTGGCATCACCCCAGCTTGTCTCAACACCTCTGATGAACAGTAGCAGAAGAAAGGACTGTTTCCACATGAGCTCCCCGGTGGTCCCCATCTCTTAGGGAGTTTATAAAAAAATCCATCATCTTGTTCTACTAAACCCAAATAAATATAATTAACACCAAATTTGTGTTCTGCTCATCAAATTGCACAGCCATAAAGAGATAATCTTCATAAAATAAATCACTAGGCTTCCTTGATAAGTCAATAAGGCAAAAACCTTGAGAGTAAATTAAGACAAATGGGAAACCAGCTGGAAGAAATCAAACAGGCAAAGCAGGTGGGTTGGCTTGTGTTTGGGAAGATAAAACACAGCATGAAGCATTTACACATTTACACAAAAGCAAGATCTATAACCTTAGGCTTTGAACTGAGCTAAATGCATGACTTATTTAAGAAGAGCTGGTAGCTGGGAACTGGTTGAACTAAGAGTGTCAAGACCAACTCTGATGATGTTTTCTTGTACTTAGCCTGTTTTTACATGCTCCGAAGATTGCCAAACAACCAGCAGCAGATGGTTCTGTATCTGAGTGCGATGCTAAGTGGTGTGAGGGATGGCATGATTGATCATTTACTCAGAGTAGCATAAAAGAAGAAATTCTTGTTAAAAATGACTCTGTTGTATCAAATGGCTGTAAAACAGGCAAGAGGTGAGTAGACCTTCAACAATCTGTCCCTTATTGGGACAAAACCAACACTGGGCCCAACAGCCATGAGGCATTCCAGCATACATCTGTAGACACGCAAAAGCTACAACATCACTTGGAATACATCCTTAGGTAACAATCCTGCATCCAGCAACTCCATCGCCTTTTCCCAAAGAATATGCCTTGCTGTTGTAAACATAGATTTAGACATCTCATCTCAGTTGATCCCATTTTGGCAGGATTCGTTTGGCCAAAAATAAACAATGATTGACCCTTTCATTTTGGGCCTCTGACAATGTAGCCTCTGACTGTTTGTGTGTGCCTGTAGTCCAAGCACACACAAACAGTGCTAGGAGTCAAGTTTCCAATAACTTCTGGCTAAAAGCCTCAGAGTCAGCTTTTCCCAATTTATCATGCAAAATGTTTAAAATTAACAAAAGCCACCTCAAACTACAATTTTCAGAATCTGGGAACTCTGACATCCAAGAGCAAGATGGATACACTTGGATTGAAAGATGCAACCAAGACCCACACATGCCAAGTCCTTGCCACAGAACAAGATGTCCAGCTGGAAGAAAGTAGAGGAATCCCCAAACCATTTGTCCTCTGGCTCAAGAACACCAGAATTATACCAACAAAAAACTGTGCGGCTGTCACGCTCCTGCACAGGTGTACTGCCTTGTGAAGTGATCAGGGAGACTTCTGTGTTACCAAACCCTCCTCACATACACTCACTCTCACTGAAACAGCTCTTTCTATACCAATTAGAAACTGAGGCTCCCAGAAAACAACTTGAAAGGAATGTAGAGAAGCTTATGATTGTCAGATTTAGCAAATAAAAATACAAGGATGCCCAGTTGAACATGAATTTCATATAAACTATAAGTAATTTTTAATATATGTATGGCCCAAGTATTAAAAGAGGACTACAAATAATTTACTAGTGTGAGTATGCCCATAAGTATTTGGGACATACTTACACTAACAGATTATTTGTCATTTATCTGAAATTCAAACTTGGCATTCTATACTTAACTTGGCAATTTGAGGAAGGGCGAAAAAAGAGAATATATATCACATTGCATCATGGAGATACAGACCTTAAAAATAAAAATGTTGTAGGCTGAGGCCAAGACACAGAAGCCTTTGCAGCAGTGCTAATTGGGTATTATAAGTTTATATTTATTAACTCTTTTCAGAAATCATAATCTCAAAGGAAAATATCCCAAATCATCTCAATACAGACAACATCCCTACAAGGACACTACTTGACATATTCAATCAGGACAATATGAAATCTTACAAAGTAAGAATTGGACTAGAATTTAGAATGTATACTCATTGGCCTGCCTTTTAGCTATTTATAGCTGGAGTCCAACCAACACCAAATGTCATGAATGGAAATCCACATGCCCGTCATTGACAGTCTAAACAGAACTTGTTTAAGAATAAAGGAGGAGGAAAGCAACAAAGGAAACTACATTTCAGAATATGGGAAAGTGACTACTATCACAAGAGTATAAAAAAGTATTTTTATACTATCTGACATAATCAAAAGAATATGAATTATGTGAAACAAGAGCCAGAAGTCATGAGGATGAATTGAGAAGCTTGTTAGGTGAGTTAAAGACATTTCAAGAAATTGAAAATATAGGAGTATTAGAGTCTATTGAAATCAGTGAAGGAATTGAAACTGTCTATCATTAAATTAGAATTTAAATATCAGATGCTGTCTCAGAACTCATCAGAAAAATCAATGATAAAGAGATGACAGCTGTAAAATGATTTAAAAAGTACAGAAGTTAATTTAAAAAGGAAAAAAAAGGTTTGCATAAGATTTGTCTTCTGCAACAATAAATCCCAGAAGAGAGTAGAAAAATATCTATAAAATTTGAGAAAATATTGCTCCTCCAAAGTCCATATTTACTCAGTTTTCCTTGTGTAAAGAAGTGAAAAACACATTCTCACATATGAAACAGCCAGAAAACATATCACATGTGTACATTTCTTGAAAGTAAATTTCATTGGGAAATTTAACGTGTGCTCAAGAAATTAACCAAATTATTAATTCCAAACTAGGTAAATTCTGGAGAAAAAGCCCTGACAGTTTTCATAATAATCTGAGGAACACCAAGGTCCATGCTGGCTGAGCAGTGCGGTCTCCAACAGTGGTTTTTAAATATGAATGCACGTGATAATTACTGGGGGAGAACATTTAAAAACATCAAGATTAGACCCCCACTTCAGATTAATTAAATCAGAAATTCAGAATAGTGGATGGAAATGTGGGCACTGAAAGTTTTAAAAGCTCCGTGGCTGATTTTAGTGTGTATCCAGGGTTGAGAACCATCCTTTAGATAAAGAACAAGCATGAAATCAGGTCTGAGTTTGAACTCCTTCCTGTGACTTATGGGACATGAGGTGATCGCAGGCAAATGGCTCAACCCACCTAGACTTTATCAATTTTAAAATCTGAGATAATTGTATCTCTATCACATTATTAGCATAAAATTAGAAAATACATGTCATTCACCAAAGGTGGGGTTACACAATTTGTAGCCACAACAAGACAATATTTTCACAGTATTTTCTGGGAATGGCAGTATGCATGTGGTGGTTTTATTTTTCCGTCATAAATGAGTTTTGTAGGTAAGCAGACCTTTCTCCTGTACACCACTAAATTCTGTGTAATTCTGAACCTATTTCAATTTTACAGAGAGCAGCAGCTCATTTGCCAACCTTTAAGGACCTCTAATACCTGGCCACTCCCACTTTTAATCTGAACCAAACACACTGCTCTCCTTACCGAATCTTCATGCAAATGCAAATGGTCCCACAATAGCCCTGCTCATTTCTGCCTTGGTGCGGCTGCTCACATGGGTCACAGGCTCACACTTGCTGTCTTTTCCTCTCATTGCTCATTCTTAACAACTCCAGCTCTAACTGACCTTCCACAGTGCCCTGTAAATTTACTACAGTTCTCCGGTACCTACCTTATATAGTACTGTATTATTTATTATTTTGTATTGATTTTTCCTAATCTAAGCTTTAGTTTCCTGCCGATGGTGTAGGAAGAAGAAAGGGTGATATGGAAAGAGTATTTAACAATGCACAGAAATGCTCATCAGTGGTGTTGAAGCAAAAGTAGTTCACTAAATGAATATATAATATTGACTTGATTATGGAAAATTGCATCAAGCAAAGACTGAAAAATATAAACTAAAGGGTTGGCAGTGATAACCTCTCAGTGGTAAGATTATGAGAGACTATTATGTTTTCTTCATATTTTTCTTTATTTCCCACGAGCTGCATTTATTAGTTCTATAGTAAGTCAGCATATGCAAGGCAAAATGGCATATATGACAAAATCAAAATTTTCAGAAAGCAACTGTTATAAAGATATAAGAGGGAAGGATACAATAATTATTAATAGTATTCATAAAAGAAGATATGAGTGGCAAATAAGCACATCAAAAATTGCTGAAGATGTTTATCAAGGAAATGCAATTTAAGCCACAATCAACTATTACTACACAAACCAGAACATAACTAAAATTAAAAGGCCTGACAACACCTAATAATGACCAGAATGTGTATCTATATTAAATGTTGACAGCAATGCCTATAACAAAAAACTGGAAATAACCTGACCCTAGAGAAATAGTTGGAAAATTGTTAACTTCAAAGCAGAATATTTTACAAGCACCAAAAGTTATGTTTTGATAGAATTTTAAATGATAGGTTGAAAGCTTACAGTATTGAGAAAGAATGTCAAATGTCAAAAACAGTTAATTCTGGGGTGGTGGTAAGAGAGAGCTAATTTTTTGCCTACATACTTTTCCAAGTGTCAGTATTTATTACTTATATCAGAGGAAAAAGCAAGTAACAAATATTAATGTGATGACTTGTTTTTGGAATACAAGTACAATTACCTCAGCAAGGGAATTCATGTTTCATGAACCAGTGATCCTTAATGCTGATTGTTGAATGACCTGGCTTTCTTAGGTAATAGCTTTACTATTATATTGTGTATTTTTGGTTTAATTGTTGGTCAGTTTGGTATTCCATATGGTAGTGCTACTCAGAATGTGTTGTGAACCCTTGGTGGCCCGTAGAATCAAAACTATTTTCATCATAATGCTAAAACATTATTTGCTGTTTTCTTTGTGTTGACATTTGCCCTGATGGTGCCAAAGCAATAGAGGGTAAGATTGTTGGTGCCTTGGCATGAATCAAGATAGTGGCACCAAACTTTACTAGTTATCACTGTATTTTTTGCTATCACATACTCACTGTTAAAATAAATAAAAAATTTTTAAATTAAAATATTTACTTCAGAATGCCCTTATGAAACAGTGAAAAATTACTATTGAATCTCCGCCCTTGAATACTTGTGTTTGAAAAATTCTCTATGTCACAATAGGAAATGAACCTAAAGCATACCAAGTACCATGGTTGTCTGAAGGACAAGCATGTGTG